TAAAGTGGTTGTAAGCCAAATAGGAGTTTGGGAAAGTCAGCTTTATACTATTCAGAACTGTGACATTTCTGAGTGACATCCCTGCTTCACGGAGCAGGGTGCTAGGAATTTTCTCGGTGTATGGAGGCTTCGCCTTATGAATGAGATGGAAGCGCCCCAGACCTTTTAACTGCTCTTGCTGGCAATACAACTTCTTCCAAACTTAAAAGTTGGGGGGGGGGGAGTGAGAGATGCTAGCAGCCTTCCTCTTCTGGGGAGATACCATGTCAATTTTTTTTATACAGGTGAAAATAGAATGGAGAGATAGTGTAGTATAGGGGGCAAAAGGGCTTGCTTTGCATGCTGCTGACCCTGGTTTTGATTCTCTTATCAGCTACTCAGAAGTGACATTGTTCAGACTGCAGCTACATGTAGCCTTCTCTCTTGTACTATCTCTCCAGCCCTATGATTTTGTAATGAATTAATTCATATATTTTTAAAACATATGCATAATGACGTGTATTATTCACATGCTTAGCAACTAAGCCTGATTGTACTTGGAGAACCATGTGGGTCTGGGTATTGAACCTGGTCTACAGCGTGCAAATTAGCCTTTGCTTTCTCCCTGTTCCCATATATGTCTCCCCACCCATAACCACAATTAACATTTTTTACGTAAAATCTGTGGAATTTCAGCCTGATCATAGGTAGTTGAAATTGGGGAAAAGAAACAATGCTGGAAAAATAAATTAGCACTGATCATGAATGCTCTTGAGAATAACAGGTTCTTATGTAACGGGTGGAGAGGATGTAAGAGATGTAAGAGACTTGAAAGCATTGGGAGATTAATTAATTAATTAATTAATTAATTAAAACCAAACGGATTAAAAGTGTGGAGGTCAGTTAGGCTGCTGTGAAAATTGGAGTTTGCTAGAGGGGGAGTTGAAGATAACATGGGACACATACATGGGAAGTTGAAGAAGGGAATGGAGAGAGTTTGACTTAGTGCTTTCTAATAACTAACTCCTCCATTTGACTTTGTTTTCTTTGTGGGCCACACCCAGCTGTGCTCAGGGGCTCTGTTCAGGGATCACTCCTGGTAGGGTTCAGGGCCATATGTGGAGTTGGGATTGAACCCACATTGGCCACAACATGCACCGCAAGAACCCTACCTACTGTACTATCACTCTGGCCCCTAAAGAGAATGTTGGGGGTAGGGGAGGAACCACATCTGGCCATACTCAGGGTTTTACTCAGGGATCATTCCTGGTGGGCTCAGGGGACCATATGGAGTGCCAGGGATCAAACTCAAATCTGCCTCAGCCTGCTATACTGCCTCTCTGGTACTCCATTTTACTTGCTTTATTGTGTTTTGAGCCATGTCCAGCTGTCCTCAGGCTTAGTCTGGATTCTGTGCTCAGGCATCTATGGGCAGTGCTCAAATCTTGGTCTTCTATGTATAGGGCAAGTGCCTTGCCTGCTGCACTGATTCTCCAGTCCCCATTTTAGTTTTGAGTATGCCAGTGAAATCTTCGAATTGAGTGATAAACAAAGATCATATAGCTTCTGCCCTTAGAAACCTTATAAGCTTTGATAAGGAGAGCGTTCATAAAACGGATGCTATTGTGAGTGTACTGACTTGAGAACATTGGATAAAAGGAGTATTTGAATTGTTCATGTCGGGAGAGTTTGTGAGTCGGTGTGTTCAAAACTAAGACAGCTTGTGCAAGAGCCCCAGAGGCCACATAAAGGAATTCATTTTGAAAAAACAAGAATGCAGACTAGGGGGCCAGAGAGAGAGAGTACAGTGGGTCGGCCACTTACTTTGCACTTGCCTTGCATGCAGCCTACCTGATTTTGATCCTGGTATTTTATATGGTCGCCCGAACCCTCTAGGAGTGATCCCTGAGCATAGAGCTAGGAGTAGGCCCTGAGATTTACCAGATGTGGCCCCCAAACAACAACAAGAAAGAAAGCAGAGTAGGGGAGACAGCTCAAATTGTAGAGAGCCAGACCTGATCAGAATGGCCCCCCTTTTTTTTTTCTTAAGCTGCAAATTGAACTGGAGTTAGAACTTTTGAGTATTGTCGTCGTTAAAACACGAGCCTGGAGTTTGTGCTTGAGATCCTCGTGATCTTACAAGCATTCTTTTGGGGGGCTAAGAGATGACTCAGGAGCTCCATGCTGAAACTCCAGGTATGCGTGCTCTTCCCCCTCTCCTCTCCCAAAAAGAAACCACCACCCCCTAAAATGAGCAGATAAAGTATTTTGGTCTTCAGATAGTTTCACAACAACAGAGAAATCTGTCTGCGGCCATGTCAAACAGTTTGGCTTCCTGCAAGTCAAGTGGCTGTGCTGTTAGATCTGGCTCAACACATTTCTTTAGTCACTAACTTTTCCTCCCCCCACCTTTTTTTCTCCAAAAAGAAATTGCTGTGGGGATGCAAATTGAACCCAGGGCCTTCAATTTGTGCTCCATCACTTGAGTCAAACCCCAGCTACCTTAGTTTTATATTTTTATTTACTTTTATTTAAACTTTACTAAATGTGTTTGGAAAGAACAAGAACTCAAGTGTACTATGCGATTTTTAGAAGTGTGTTTTGTATAAAAGGGGGAGACAGTCCAGAATACAGGTTTAGTTTTAATAAGTAACCAAAATGATTCTGATGGCAAGCCAAATGTAGTCTCTCCAGTCCCCAATTATTTTACCTTTTTTTTTTATGTTGTGGGAAGTGGAGCTTGAGGCACTATGGGCCACTCCAGATGCTATCTCTCACTGAGGTAGTTACTTCCAATGCTTGGGTGCCTATGCCATTCCAGGGATCAAACCCAGCAGGGCATGTGCTCTGCTGCTTTAGTCGCATCCCCATCCATGATACCCCAGAAATTATTTTTATTTGGTAAGCCTCAAGGTTTGTCTCCCTCCCCAACTTGCCCCACACAAATATTACACTATTTTTTCTCCCCCCCTCCAACTCCAAAACTGTCACCCCTTCTTATTTCAGGAGGCAGGGGTAGGAGATGAAAAATTCCTAGATGATACTAATTTGTTATCTCCGTACTTTTGTATGGAGATAGTTCTGTGTTCACTATTTCCCAACTTTTCTTCCTTTCCAGACTTAGAGTCTGGTGAATATTTTCTTATGGAACAGTGAACCTCAGTCACCAATATCACTACATGCCCCCCCTTTCTTTTCACAAACTCATGCCCCCTTGAAAAGTAGAAAGGAAAGGAAACCTGGAACTCAGGATTACATAAACCAAGATTGAGGGTTGAGGTGTGGGGGGGAAGATTATTGGAGCATCATCATTTGAGGGAGAGTGTAAAATAGGATCATGAACCTGAACCCAGGAAGAAATTAGAGTAAATTTGAAGTAAAGAGTGAGTTAAATTGGTTATCTGATTATTTTGAGTGACTTAAAAGAATCAAATAAAGGGTGGAGCAATAACAGTGGGTAGGGTGCTTGCCTTGCATGTGGCGGACCTGGGTTTGATCCCCAGCATCCCATACGGTCCTCTAGGTACTGCCAGGAGTAACCCCTGAGCATTGCTGGTGTGAGCCTAAAAGCAAAAAAAAAAAAGTAAAAAGAGTCAAATAATTTTTAGCACACGCAAAATGCTAGCAAGTTTTTCCAGCTTTTCAAAATTGCCTTAGCATAAAAGTTTCTTTAATGTAGGTATGTGAAAATAACAAAAGAGGGAGGCTGCTTAATTTTGTTGTATTTTGTTTTTATCACATTCAAGATTTCATTCCCCAATTTTTTTTTAGGTTCAGCTGTACTCAGACCATTCTTAAACTTTTCTATTAGACCAGTTTGATTGGTGAAACTGTCTTGTTACATACAACCCCATCATTGCATTTGAATCATGATACTTGTGGTAGACTGTTCTGGACTAAATGGGAAGTGTTGTTTGTTGCCTTAGTTAAAATCAAATATGAGCTTTTAGCTGATGTTCTCAATTTAGTGGTACATTAGAATATGTAACGAAGGCCTTTTTTTAAAAAGACCTGGTGCCTTAAACTGATTTCCAAATATTGAAGTTTACACAATCTGGAGAAGGGTTTGGGCAGCAATGTTTTTTAAAGTACTTCTGACGATTTTGCTCTGTAACTGTTGATGGTACTCATTGGTTTAATGAACAAAGACCAGTTTGATGGCATTTTCAGTAGCCTTTGATAGTCTGGTACCAAAGAAGAATTCTGCTGTAAAACACTTGTGGTCTATAGCTCTATTATGGCTCTGGGAATTCCTGTGGCCCCAAACTTGGCAAATGTGGAAAGTCGAGGTCACTTGACATTTGGTTATACTGAAATGCATGTGTGCGTGCGTGCATGTGCGTTCGTGTAGTTTGAACTCTCTCCAAAGAAAAAATAATCCCAAATCTTTTAATTAAAAATCAGTTTGTAAGGAGACCAGAATGATAGTATAGCAGGTAGGACTCTTGCCTTACACTCTGCTGATTTTGAGCTCTCCAGCGCCCTATATGGTTCCCTCAGCCCCACAAGGTGCCCTGAGCACTGCTGAAGTCCCTCCCTCCCCCATCACTTTTTGTTTTTGAAAAGTCATTTATAATGCCCTTGTATAGTAATAATTAATTGCTCCGTCCTTCTGAAATGTTCTTAATCAGATTTTACCTGCTTTGTGTGTGGTGTGCACATTTTACTTTGTAATTAAAGAATTGGCAAATTGAATTGGCAAATTGTAGATCCTTTTTTTGCCAGCCATTCCATAATTCTAAAATGGTAGCTAAATATCTAGGTAATGTGTTAGAATCAAAAGAGAAAACAAATCTTTTAGATTGTACATATGGTTGGTTTTTTTTTTAATAGAATAAACAATGAGTGTACCATTACTAGTTTGTTAAATAACACTAGTTTTCTTTTTATGATTGACAGGTTTTTAATTAACACTACTGCTTTTCCATTTTTTTCTATATATAGCTTTCTCTGCATTTGCTGATAGTTGAATAGTTCCTTAGATTATATTTTTTTATATGTAACAAAACTTTTTCTTATAGGTTATGCAATGGTCTCTGCAGGATGGTTTCTTCTTGAATTGGATCTTTTCAAGACTAACAAATGCTGGTACTTCACCTTCAATAAGTGGACTATAATTTCTTTTTTCAAGACTACTACATAAGCAGACAAAATTGCAAAGATCTGCCCTGTATCGAGTATGACAGCCACGACTCGTGGCTCTCCAGTAGGGGGGAATGACAACCAGGGCCAGGCTCCAGATGGACAGTCTCAGCCCCCCCTTCAACAGAATCAGGTACAGTGTTCAATAAGATAATTAGTTAAAATGCATGAAATGTTTAACAAGGGCTATTAAAGATTATGTTCTTGTGTGCTATTGCTGGGAAGGTATACAAACTTGCTGGAAGGTATGTAATTTGTAGTTTGTATCAGTAGCCCTAAAAGAAGTTGTGTATACGTAAGCCACGTTCCAGCTCATTGTGTCTGCTCTATAAAATTAATCATGTTCAGGGCTGGGGAGATAGCTTATTTGTAAGCCAGGTATTGGACCCCAAGTTTGAACCCTATCATCACATAGTTCTCTCACACCAGCCAACTCTGGGTACCCCCTTGGACTCTAGCACTGAACAGTTCCATCCAGTTGGCTGAGTATTGCTGGAAATATCATGAAGGCTTCCTGTGCAATGCTTTTGCCGCTGCCACTCCTCTCACCAAAAGAATGATAAAAACTCCTTTATTTGGTTGCGTGATGCATAACTAAAGTGGGGAGGAAATAGGTGAGCTAAGATGAAGAATAAGTAGAGCATAAAATTGGCTGCATTCATTGAAAGTGATGTGACTTATTTGGAAACTATGAGGAGGATTTAAATGCTGAATAGTAGTTCAAGCTAGGGAAATTACGGAGTAAAATTTCTCAACCTCAAATTAAGAATGAAAGTTTTGTCAGAAACTACTTTAATCTGTAAAATAGGCTATATTGTACCTGTACAATAAATTTTATTATGGCAGGACTCATAATAGGGAATATAAGCAGAGAGGCAGTATAGTTAAGAACACAAACTGCTGAAATAGATAATGGAGTTGAATTCTGACCACAGAATTTGAGCTGTCACTTTGGGCTAACTTCTTGTTTCAATACATTTTTCATTTCCAGTATAAAACTTTTTAAAGGTTTTGAGGACTATTTTTTAAAGCACAGTAGCACAGAAACATAAGTTTTCTATGACTGTTTTGAAAAGTTAACGTAACCTATGCTGGTGTTTGAATTACTAGATGCTATATACATATTCTAGATCCCAACGGTGTTCAGGGCTTATTCCTGACTCTGTGCTCAGAGATGAGTCCTGGCAGGCTCTGGAGACCATATGGTGTGCAGGGGGATGGCACCCAGGTTGGCTATGGGCAAGGCAAGAGCTTTGCCCACTGTATCTTTCTAGCCCTTACATATTGCAGACTCTTAAATATAGACTATTTTTTAATTAGACTTCATCACCTGATTCTTCAAATGAAAATTCCCCGGCAACTCCCCCAGACGAGCAAGGTCAGGGAGATGCCCCACCACAGCTTGAAGATGAGGAACCTGCATTTCCACATACTGACCTAGCAAAGTTGGATGACATGATTAATAGGTGAGTTAATTTTTGGTTGGGGGGGGGGGTGGAGAGCACACAACCCAATAGTACTCAGGGCTTAGACTGCTGTCTCTGTGCTTAGGCATCACGCCTGGTGAGATTCAGGGAACCATGTGTGGTGCCATGGTCAAACATGGGTTGGCTACATGCATGGAACCTTGTTTTGTTTTATATTTGTAACATTAGGAAAACCATCATTTTGTTAGTAATGTTATTAGTGGATAAGACAAGAATGATCTGCACTTTAACATTAACCGCACTTAGAAGCCTTAACATTTCACTCTTTGCCAAGCTCTTTTTTTAACTTAGGATTTTATTTATTTTTAGGCACTGTAATTTATAATAGTGTTAATAATGTTTCAGGAATACAGTGTTGCTAAACTGCACCCTCCACCCCCTGATTATTAATGGACCTTTTCAAATGTCAGTGAAATTTTTGAATGGTTTTGGACCTAGCTGTTGTTTTTGAAGTAGAACTGTTTGATATCAGAGTTTATGAAGACTTTTAATGATATGTTGATTGCATATCCTTATGTGTGGGTTGCAACTCAATAAGGAGATTGAGTTTTTCAGCGCCTGCTCTGTGAATTCTTGACTGGTTTGGTGTACTTAATCATCTACATCTTAGCTTTTTTTTAATCTTTGTCTTGCAGACAGTTAAAAGAATAATTTTTCATACTGTACAAAGCATTTCTTTCTTACACCCCCTTTCCACATTTGCGTCATCACATACATGCTGATTATTTGGAGGAAGACACAGTGAAAGTTGAACATGTACCGTCACTGTCACTGTCCTCGTCCTCCTTTTGTTCATCGATTTGCTAGAGCAGGCCCAGTAACGTCTCCATTGTGACAATTGTTTACTGTGTTTGGCATATTGAATACGTCATGGGTAGCTTGCCAGGCTTTGCCTTGCGGGCAAGATACTCTTGGTAGCTTCCTGGGCTCTCTGACAGGGGCGGAGGAATTGAACTAGGGTGGGCCATGTTGGCCACTTGCAAGGCAGACGCCTTACCTGCTATGCTATCGCTCCAGCCCAAACGTGTACAAGTAAGACAAGGTTTTAAAGAAGGTGAAGGTAGATCATGTCAGGAAAGGCCTTACATGACTGTGTCTTCACCTGGTAGTGAGCTCAACAAGCGAGACATAAGGAGATGAGACATTTCCTCTCCAAGCTCCAAAGAAGGAAAATGAGGACTCTAATAGGCACTTGGCTTCCTAAGTTGTATTGCACTTTTTGAAAGTCATTAACTCTATTACATATATAATAGCAGGGGAAATAGAATATCTTTGCATTAAAAACAATCTTGATTATTTATGGAAGTGAGTATGCATTGCTAAACAAGTTATGTTAGTAAAGTTCTCTTCACATATTGAGTTATACATCTCATTGAAAAGTTACTTCCAAGAGTCAGGAATACATTCTTGGAGATTGTCAAGGAATGTTACTTTAACTTATCACATGTATTGATTGCTTTTTTCTTGTTAAATATAAGTTCTTGATTTTTTTCTATTACTCTATATAGTTCATTGTTTCAATTTTTTTCCCTATTACTCTGTATAGTTCATTGTTTCAAATAATATTTGAAAGAACACATCAAATGTGATTCTGGTAAATGTCTTCTAGTTATGGTTATCTGATGAATTACAGGTAAATAAAAATTGTATAAACTTTTTGTTATGCATCAAGCCCCTATCAGTCACAGTACTATAAACCACAGTGCCTCAAAATTATTTTTTACAAATGTGCCTGTGATAGAGGTAGACTGGTGAATGAGAGTGAAAAAAAAATTGTGGTGGAATGTGGATGCCACTCAAGGAATTGGTGTTGAAATATTGTATGCCTGAAACCCAATCATGATTAACTGCAGTTAAGGCAATTTAAAACCACAGCAGTCCGGTCACGGCCACAGTCCTCCCATTGTTCATCAATTTACTTGAGCGGGCCCAGTAACATCTCCATCGTGCGTCTTGTTGTTACTGTGTTTGGCATATCGAATACGTCATGGGTAGCTTGCCAGGCTCTGCCATGCGGGCGAGATACTCTCGGTAGCTTGCCGGGCTCTCCAAGAGGGGCGGAGGAATCGAACTCGGGTCCGCTATGTTGGCCGCTTGTAGGCAAACGCCCTACCGCTGTGCTATCGCTCCAGCCCCAAATTTCAACCACAGCAAATTTCTGCAATTACAGTGGTTCCTGTCCTATCCACTTTGTGTCAGGGACCCCATAGCAAAGGAACTAATAGATTTTTAATGCTTTTCTGTTTCTTGGTAGTTGTTGACTTTAGTTAGTAGCACTGTATAGCACTGTCCTCCCGTTATTCATCGATTTGCTCAAGTGGGCCCAGTAACATTGTGAGACTTGTTACTGTGTTTGGCATATGGAATACGTCACAGGGAGCTTGCCAGGCTTTGCGGTGCAGGCGAGATACTCGGTATCTTGCTGAGCTCTCCAAGAGGGGTGGAGGAATCAACTCAGGTTGGCCGTGTTGGCAAGGCAAACTCCCTACCCACTGTGCTGACTTGTTAGTAAAGTGCACTTATTATGTAATCTGAAGAATGAAGTTGTGTATTAGTTACTAATGCTGAGGGGAAAGTAAATATTTTCTTTTGGTAAATGAGAAAATATACTATATTCTAATTAGTTTATCTGATTTTTTTTTTTAATTTAAACATTCTGGGATCAGTGGCTGAGTTGGCTGTGGAGAAGAGGGACTGATGGGGAAAAAGATGGAGTCTTGGTTTTGGGGCCACAACTGATGCTCAGGCTTACTCTTGGCTCTGTCAATCAGGGATTACTTGTAGGACACAGGGAACCATATGGGGTGCCAGGGATTGAACGTGGGTTGGCTGTGTGCAAGGCAAGTGCCCTGCCCATTCCACTGTCTCTGGCCCCAAGGATGCACTCTTAAATAGTTGGGCCTGCCACCGGAATAAAGAAAGTACTTTATGGATGTAAGTCATATCTTCTTTGCCTATGAATGACTTGAAGACTTGACACAACAGCTCACTTACCTCTCAGGTATTTGTTGCTACATACTTTTCCAAATTTGTGGGGTGAGTTGAAGAGAACTAAAGGGTTCATCATAGTGTTTGCTCTGAACCCAAATCATGAAAGAACATTTAATATGAGCTATAATTACAGAAAACAAATACTGTCCTCCTGTTACTCATCAATTTGCTTGAGCGGGCCCAGTAATGTCTCCATTTTGAGACTTGTTGTTACTGTGTTTGGCATATCAAATACATCACAGGTAGCTTGCCTGGCATTGCCCTGCCAAAGAGAATCTCAGTAGCTTGCCGGCCTCTCCGAGAGGGGCGGAGGGAATGAACCCAGCTCGGCCGGGCAAGGCAAACGCCCTACCCGCTGTGCTATCCTTCCAGCCTGAGCTATAATTAAATCCATTTAATTGATTCTTTATTATTATAGTTTTATATTATTAGTAAAATAATTTTCGCATCTCTCATTGGTGTATTGTTGTGTGAACATTCAGTCAGAGGTGCTGAGACAAGGAGCATTTATGTCATGGAGGGTTCAGGTTCTCTCAGACCTCTGACAAAGGTAGAGAGCCCCGAAATCTCCTTTTATTGCCATCCTACTGTTCATACTCTAAAGGGCTCACTACAGTGATGTCACCAAAAGAAATTACAGAAAGAACATTGAGGCAGGCAAAGCATGTATTGTTTCCTTTATCCAGGTCAGTGCATTTTGGCCTAAGGAAACGGAAATCTTTCTTGGGCTACTAGTATTTGAGTTTGCATCACAAAGACCGGGCTGGGCAGCCACCTGAAATCTACATCCCAAAGACTAACTGGGCTAGCATTTGAAATTTGCATCCCAAAGTCTAGGCTGGGCCAGGAATCTACATGTCAAAGATCAGGCTAGGCTTTACTCACTGACTTTCAATATACAGAAATTTATGAAATTATTTACTGAAGGCAGCTTAAAGGAAAAAGATGTTCAGCTTCATCCAAACCAGTCAGGACACACGAGAAATCGCGCCCATTTTCATGGGTCCCTATGTCCTTGCCTGTTGTGCGGTACAAGTCTACGTTGGCTCATCCTGACCACTCAGTCCAGCCCCAACATCTCTGAAGAATATTCACGCAACAGTGTATATTTTAATGGCTCCTTTTTGTTTGTTTTTGGGCCACACCCTGCTGTGGCCACGGCTTACTCTTCATAGCTCTATGCTCAGGGCTTACTTTGGTAGTGCTCAGGGAACCATATAGAGTACTGAAGATCAAACCAGATCTGCTGAGTTTAAGGCACCTTACCCATTGTACTATCTCTTTGGCCCCAGTTATATGTTTTCTTTGAGACAATACGTGGTACTTAGTCCACAAAGAAGTTATTCTGCCAGCCATACTGTCTAAGTGTCTAAAATTAATAGCTTATTTTTAGTGCTTCTTGTCATATACAACTAATAACCATCTTTCTATTATAATTTGTAGGCCTCGATGGGTGGTTCCAGTTTTGCCGAAAGGGGAATTAGAAGTGCTTTTAGAAGCTGCAATCGATCTTAGTAAAAAAGGTAAGTTCAGATGTTACTGTGCTTTCCGTGATATTTACAGTGCTACTAGATACACGTTTAACTTCTTCTCTCAAAACTTGTGTTTTCTTCCCTAATAAACTTCGAATAACCCTGGACTAGAGCATCTAAGGAGCTTTCTTGCTATGGCTTATGACTTAGAATAAGGATTCATCTCTATCTACAAGGGTATTTGTGAACTCTTAGAAGTTATTCAAGAATTTAGTGTGTGTGTATGTATGCACATTTAAAGTACAGAAGTTTGTATGTTAATTTTTTTTTGGAGGGGGAGGCTCCCAAACAGTGCTCAGAAAGTTCCTGGATTCCACTTGTCAGTTTTGATCACTGACCATTTAATGCAAGGACTCAAGGATATGATGCTGCTCAGGCCCTGCAGCGCATGGGATACCCAGGCCATCCTAGAGTTTCTAGGGAACTTCTAAGGGAGGCTTGTACTTTGGTGTTGCTCAGGACCATGTGGTGCTGCGATTCTAAACCAGCTCAGGTACATGCTAGGCATTTGCCCTAACTGCTGCACTATTTTCCATTCCTGATTAATTTTTTAATGTACAGAAAAGGTTTGAATGTTCTCTAAAAAGAAAGGCTTAAAAGATGAGATCCATGGGGCGGGAGCGATAACACAGCGGGTAGGGCATTTGCCTTGCACGCGGCCAACCCGGGTTCGATTCCCAGCATCCCATATGGTCCCCCTGAGCACTGCCAGGAGTAATTCCTGAGTGCATGAGCCAGGAGTAACCCCTGTACATTGCCGGGTGTGACCCAAAAAGCAAAAAAAACCCAAAAAAGATGAGATCCTGTGGAGTTTTTTTCTAGTGATCAATCTAGTTGTAGCAAAATTACCAAATGACTCCTCTTAGGAATAAACGCATTCCATTTAATTCTTAGAATTAATAAATATTAACACAATTGAAATTGATTGCTGTAAAAGTTAATATTTAGAGTTCCTTGCTTAAAACCTAATCCATGGCAAGAGTGAATTTTCTTATGTTAATTATCCCTCATTGAGAATGTGTTTGGGGAGTTGGTTTAAAGGGCTGAAGTGCATAATTTATATACAGGAGCCCTGGGTTCAGTCCTTAGCACTGCATGTCCCCTGAGTACTAGCCAAGCCCCTGAGTGTTGTCAAGTGGCATTTACATGCAAAAAAAAATGTCTCTGTGATCTGTAAAAACTTGTTTAGTATTGTTTATATTCAGTGGGCATGTGTCATGTACGCCTCACACTATTACAAGTATATTACTGTTTTTTTTTTCTTTTTAGTTTTAATTTTTTTGTTTTGGGGACCACATATGGCAGTGCTCTTGGGGACCATATGCCATGTAGAACTTGAACTGAGTTTGGCTGTGTGCAAGGCAAGCGCCTTAACCCCTGTACTTTGGCCCATATTACTGGGTTTAAATATTCTCTTTGTATAGAACAAAATTCAGGTAACTTATGTTCAAATAACCAGCTTTCCTTTCTGTTTTTTTTTGTTTGTTTTGCTTTTGGACCAAACCCAATGGCACATTTGTCATCAAGAGTTAAAGACTGTCTTTGGAGGCATATGGTTTTGTTGCCTTTCTAAAGTAAGGTAAAATTAAGATGTAATGAAGCGTAGATGCTGAGATAGTGAGAGACTCATAGGAAAACAGAACAGTTTTTATTTAATACTTTCCTAGAATCATACAAGGATATTTATACTGAGCATTTAACTTGCAACCAAATGATTATGACATGCCCTTTTATTTTGGTTGTGGGCGGTGCTCAGGTCTTAATCTTGGCTCTGTGCTCAGGGATCATTACTGGCTGAGCTTGGGGTATGGGGAACCACATGTGGCACTGGGGATTGAACCCAGGTTGGCTGCTTTGCACGAGGCAAGCAAGAGCCTGGCCTGCGAGTCTCTTGGTCACCTGAAATGTCTAAGTTTTAAAGTTTATAATGCTTTGAAATATTTATATTCACTACAAACACTTTAGGTCTATTGTCATAATTCGGAATTATTTTCAACTCATAATACACTTGTAGCCAGTTAAAGATTTTTAAATTCTTAGAGATTGACCTTTGGACCCAGGAACATTCCTAACACTTGGAGTATTGTTTTTTTTTGAGGACTGAAGTGATAGTAAAGTGGGTAGGGCACTTGGTTTGCACACAGTCGACCTGGTTCAATCCCCAGCATCCCTTATGGTCCCCTGAATCCTCCAAGGGTGATTCCTAAGCACAGAACCAGGAGAATTAAGGCTGAACACTGCCAGATGGAGCCCCAAAACTCATCTTTGTGACCTTTCGTGATAATGTTGTTTTTTCCCCCTCAAAAGTAGCCTTCATGTGCTGTCAGTGAATAGCTTGTAAATGTTTCTTACCTTTTTATTAGATATTGTCAAATTGCCAGGTAAGTAATTTGCTCACATTATTTTTCTTCCTTGATCTTAGGCCTGGATGTTAAAAGTGAAGCGTGTCAGCGATTTTTTCGAGATGGATTAACAATATCATTCACTAAGATTCTCACAGATGAGGCAGTGAGTGGCTGGAAGTTTGAAATTCACGTAAGTCTTTTTGGAATTTGTTATCTTAAAAATCTTTTTACATACTGATTTTGCTGATTATTTTCAGATGTGTAAAATGTACAGGTAATGTATTTGACCCCTAAACCAGTTGTGTACTACAAAAGGTAGAAAACCCTTGACTATGGAGAGAAAATAATACTTATATTAAAAAAAAAAAGAAACAACCCTGCAATAACTTAATACCTGATAGTGAGGAATGGGGAAATTTCTTCATAAGTAAAAATGAAGCTTTATAGTGTGAATTCTTATTGTAATTGTGACAGAAAGATTCTTCATAGAGAATTGTATGTGGTCCAAAGTGGGTGATTCCCAAAATGACTGTCAAAAGAAAACAAGTTTTCTAAACACCTTCAATCTAAGCAAATATCCTCTTTGTTGATTGTTGTCAGATTCTAGATTTCTTAAAAAGTAAAAACTTATGCATCTTCTATTGATAGAAATGTTAATCATTACTTTGTCTTAGATATTTGTATTACAGAAATGGTAAGCAGATAGTTGTGCTCTGAACAAGTACAACCAAGTTAAAAATCCCAGTAGCTTCTTATTCAGTATCAAACTTTGTGAGGTTTTGAAATAGAAACTTTACAAGTGGTGTTACACATGCTTTGTGTTGAAGCTTAGCAAATATTCTTGGATAATTGGTCCATTGTTTATAGATTTTTTTAAATTGCTTCTAGTATTAGATCACAAAAAGTAAAAGTAATCTAGTAAATTTTGTAATCTGGTAAAAGATTACAAAAAGAAAGGTTAATTTCCCCTTTTTTTGCAGTGATAATTTGTGCTTGTCTGTTAATGTAAAGCCTACATCATTTCATAAGTCATTGGACGTAGGTACTGTGTAAGGTCTAGAATAAATACTAGTTTTGTATTTTGATTTATTGTTTGTATCTCATTGGTGAAACTAAACATTTCAAGTGATCAGTATAGAAAAATTTAGAGGTCATTACGGAGATATGATAGGAATATGTTTTGTTTGGAGTTGTCAGTGTATATCTTAAAAATCACTTTTGCCTTGTATAAAACAGAGGTGTATTATCAACAATACTCATCGCCTGGTGGAGCTATGTGTGGCCAAGTTGTCCCAAGATTGGTTTCCACTGCTAGAACTTCTCTCAATGGCCTTAAATCCTCATTGCAAATTTCATATCTACAATGGTACTCGTCCATGTGAATCTGTTTCTTCCAATGTTCAGTTGCCTGAAGATGAACTCTTTGCTCGTTCTCCGGACCCTCGATCACCAAAAGTGTGTTGGTTTGTTATTTTCAAATTAGCCTGTTTTGCTTGTTCACATTACTTTAAATGATGTGTATCTCTTGTGAACGTGGGGAGAATGATATTCTTAAAGTGGCTATGCATTGTTTTGTGTTTTTTCTTGGGGCGGCATATCTGGGTGTGCTCAGGAATCATTTGTGATGGTGTTCAAGGTACCAGCCATATGTGTTGCTGTCTATCAAACTAGGGCAAGCTCCATGAAGTGCAAGCCTCTTACCTCTTACTACAGTGTCTCTTCCGCTTCTGCATTGTTTTGTTTGGAAAGAAAAAGAATTTTCTTATGTAGTTAGTACGTGGCCTCTTGGGAAGTAGTCATAATTTGAGTAAAGTATGAAACATGTCTTTTTTTTCCTTCACACTTTTGTTTCTTTAGTGTGTTTTTCTTATAGCCCCCAAGCCAGTGCTTTGGGGGGCTCCCAGCTATGCTGCACCAACTGGTGATGGCTCTAGGCTTGATCCTGGTTGAGTAGATGCTGCTTGGGTCAGAAGTGCTGGACAGAGGGCATGCAGTGAAGGGTTTTGAAGTCCCATTCCAATATACTCCAGGCCTACACCCGTGACACTTGAGCTATCTCTCCATTCCCCATTTTTCTTTTAAATCAGTTAAGACTACTTCTTTGATTAAGGCCATGATAATTCTAAACTTTATAAGATTTAGATTCCAAAATTGACATATGACAAAAGTAACTAATGTAGGACATAAAAGTAAAATTACAGTTTATTTTGCCAAAAAAAATATATAGGAATCTCAATATATGTGCTATAAATTAAAAAGTTCTAAAAATATAAAGTTTAGAACCCGCTTTTCAGAATGTACTTTCAAAAGCATATCCCTAGATAATACTACTTTCGTTAGATAATTTGTGACAGGTTTTAGAAAGGTGGGAGACTTGTATAGTATTGTGAATCTTAAAAAAAAATCAAACCAGGAAAATTTGAGTTTCTACATACAATGCTTTCATTCAGTTAAGAACTGGAATCATTAAAATGTTTAAATTTATTTCTTTGGTATATTCTGTTATTTTTCTGATGTCTTCCAAATTCATATTCTTGCCACTTGATGGCCTATTTTTGTTTGTGCAGATTACATATCTTAATAGTGACCATCTCTATGAGATGTGTTTGTTTTTTGCTTTGTAGGTCAATAATCTGTAAATTCAGGTTATAGCTATTTAAGATTGCTTTGAGGTGAAGGTATTTTTATCTCATCCTTTGAAGCCTAGTTCATTTTGGGTATCACTAATTACTGAGTGTTCCTAATTGCTTAAACGTTCCTTGTTGGAAAAGTCACCAGATGAGATGATTGTTAACTTTGGCCTAAGTTTTTACTTGGTGCATGTATACTATTTCATGTTAAGTATTTCATTCTCAATCCATTTACTGGAGAATTAAAATTACTACATATGAGTACTCAAAATAGCTAAATACCAGAAGGGACATGGTGAATTAATGCCTCAGATGTTTTTGGTTGTTAAGAAGGTAGAAAAGTTTTGGAGCTTTAGAGCTAGTACATTGGGTAGGGAGCTTGCCTTCTGTGCAGCCAACCAAGGTTCAGTTTCCGGCATCTTTATGGCCCCCTGTGTATGGCCAGGAGTGGTTCCTAAGCCCAGAGCTAGGAGTTAAACCCTGAGCATCACCAGGTGTGGCCTAAAAGTAGGAACATAGTATGATGAATTGGTGGTAATTGAATATTACAGAATTGTAATATTTTGTGGACTCTACAAAAACATTACTAAAACTCTTAAAAAATATTTTTCAATATTGTTTATCACTAGCTGTGCTAGAGACCACTCAGGATATATCTGGAGGCATTTGGGAGTGTTAGAGCAGGAACCGTCATCCTGATCCTTCCCATCCCTGTGTTTCCCATCTCCCAACCATATCATCACTTTTTAAAGTAGTTGCCTTTTGCTTTAGACTTTTTAGGTTGCTGTGAAAGTTATTTTTGAATAACTAAGCTTAGTTAAGAAATTGTCTCTTCACACCCAACCTCCTTGTTTTTCTCAGCATTTGAAAATGTGGCCTTTCAAGAAGGCAAGGTATAAATACTTGACTTGAGTACACTGAGTTTTTTAGATTCTTTGCTCTATATAACTTCATTTTAGAGACATTGTTTTAACTACACAAATTATTTTTCTGTAACAACGTCATTGTTTTGAGTTATTACTATCCCTTAGTAAAAGATTAAATGACAATCCATGTTGCATTGTGGTAGCTCTGATAGATGATAATAGAGGTACATTCACAAGTCAGTAAAAGAATCATCCAGAATGTTCATTCTAGTTTGGAGCAATAAATACTAATAAAATGAATTAATTTTTAATTAATAACTCTTGAGCTTTAATCTATTATATTCATGGGGATATTTTCGTTAGCCACAGCAATAACAAAAAATGAATCTAAACATTAATTAGGTCACTAATTTTTTTTTTTAGCGTGGGCCCCCTTAAAATTTTTAAAATAATTTTTAGATAAAGTATTCTCAGGATAGTACCTGAAATAGAAACATGACTTCTAATTCCAGTTCTCCAACTATATTTGGTACAAACAATTACACCCTGGTGATTAGAATAGCCACTTTTAATGCAGCTTATATCTTTCAGTATTGTTAATGGAACTTAATACTTAGATGTTATGTGCTTATATATATTCCAGTATATATTCCTCTGTGTATGTATACACACACACATTAGAATAATGCCATTGACTTTTCTAGCAAAATTCAATTTATGACACATTAGAATAATGCCATTGAATTTTCTAGCAAAATTCAATTTAAAAAATGGCCTTAGATAATGTAATACGAGTTTTTTTTAAAAGCATGATGTTTACTTTTTTAATTCATCTTGTTTCAGGGTTGGCTAGTGGATCTTCTAAATAAGTTCGGCACTTTAAATGGGTTCCAGATACTGCATGATCGTTTCATTAATGGATCAGCATTAAATGTTCAAATAATTGCAGCCCTTATTAAGTAAGTTTTAAAATGTATCTCCGTTGCATTAGAAATTGTGACTTTATTGCTTGGTAAAAATTGAGTTTTTTAAAAATAAGTCTTGTTTTTCTCTTAAACTGGTAAATTAGATTTTTTAAAGATTACTATACTGTATTTTTTGTTTTCAGACCATTTGGACAGTGCTATGAGTTTCTCACTCTTCATACAGTGAAAAAGTACTTCCTTCCAGTAATAGAAATGGTTCCACAATTTTTGGAAAACTTAACTGATGAAGAATTGAAAAAAGAAGCAAAGAATGAAGCTAAAAATGATGCTCTTTCAATGATAATTAAGTCATTGAAGAATTTAGCATCAAGAGTTCCAGGACAAGAAGAAACTGTAAAAAATTTAGAAATATTTAGGCTAAAAATGATACTCAGGTAAGCTGTTTATTTTTTCAGATAATTACTTCTCTGAATGTGTTAAGAATTGTATTTAACTCTGAATTTCTCCTATAGATTGTTGCAGATTTCTTCTTTCAATGGGAAGATGAATGCATTGAATGAAGTTAATAAGGTGATATCAAGTGTGTCATATTACACCCACCGGCATGGTAACCCTGAGGAGGAAGAATGGCTCACAGCTGAACGAATGGCTGTAAGTTCTCTTGAGTTTTAATTGATAAAAAATTTATTTGAGACAGAGTAATGTGGAAATCATCTGCCCCACAATAGGGGGATATGGGATGGGGGTGTGCTGGGGATTTTGGTGGTGGAGAATGGGCACTGGTGAAGGGACGGGTGTTTCATTGTATGACCGAGACTTAGACCCGAAAGCTTTGTAACTGCTCTCACGGTGATTCAATAAATAAAATTACAAAAAATGGGGGAAAAAAAGTAAGGTGGAGTTCATGCACAATTCAATCAGCTAATAAGTGGCTGAATAAATAAATAAATAGCAGTACTCTGCTACATAAAAAAAATTTATCTGAGACAAAATTTAAAACAGCATTAATGAAATTTAGTAATGCTAACATTGTAGGAGAAAACCATGAAATCAAAGGGTGTTTAGATTGATTATGGCTCTGTTTCTTTTGCGAATTTTTGGTAGTAATATTTTATTATGTGGTGGTGATATCTAAACCATTAAGATTGCTGAGTAAATTATTGGAATAGGATTTTAGTTCAGTATTTCAATTTTATGGGTAAATTTATGTGCAAAATTTAGTTCCAAGTAGTTGACTTTTTAAAAAATGCCTTAAAACAATATCGTCCTTATCTTTGAGCATTTAAAAATTTGTTTCTCTTTAAAAGTGAATAGTATCACATAGGTTCAGAAGTCTGTTTCTTCATTAAAACAAGTTTTTAAATTATATTTAGGAATGGATACAGCAGAACAATATCTTATCCATAGTCTTGCGAGATAGTCTTCATCAGCCTCAATATGTAGAAAAGCTAGAGAAGATTCTTCGTTTTGTCATCAAAGAAAAAGCATTGACCTTACAAGATCTCGATAATATCTGGGCAGCACAGGTAAGGAATTTAAAATAGTGGCTAATTGGTTTTAAAAAAAAGATACTGAAAGTCAAATAACATGTTAACACTAGTTAACATGAAATTGACTTTTTAGAGTTATAGTATATTTATGCTTTTGTATTGCCCTAACCTCTCAACTCCCTTTGGTTTTCAATGGACCATGAGATGTTGGGCTTAGAACCCAGGACTCCTTCAAAAGTAAAGCCTGAACTTCAGTCCTTTGCATCTTCTCCCAGTCCTTAAATGTTTGTAATTTACAGATAATCCTATGAGGATTCTTTCTGAAATACTTGCAGTGTTTTAAAATAAAAGTGTTCTTTCAGTGGTACCAGAGAGATAGTACAGCAGGTAGGATGTTTGCCTTAGCATGCAACTAACCGAGATTCAATTCCTGGCACCCCACAATGGTCCTCTGAACCCTGCCAGGAGTAAGCTCTGAGCACAGCCAGGTGTGGTCCAAAGACCAAAATAAAATAAAAAGTTCATTTTTTGGGAAAGGTTGGCAAATTTGTTAGTACTTTAAAGCAAAAAATAACAGGTATAGCTTTTTAAAACAGACATTCCTTTGTTCATGAACTTGACACAAATTGAGGAAATTTGTGAGATCAGATGATCATGCGATTATAATCCAAATAATTCAAAATACTTTTCAGAAGAATAAACATTTTTGCTTTCAAAACTGAAGTTATGATTGCTTTGAATATCTTTTTGTTTTCTGGGCCTTGCTCAGGGGGAAGTCTTGATGCTGATTTTCTTTGGTTTTGTTTTTTCAATAGGCGGGGAAGCATGAAGCGATTGTGAAGAATGTACATGATCTTCTGGCAAAATTGGCATGGGATTTTTCTCCTGAACAACTTGATCATCTTTTTGATTGCTTTAAGGTAAAAATAGTTCACAGTAAAGTGTTACCTTTTTCCTTTCCATGTTGGGTTGTCCAGCTTAGTTCTTCCTGAATGCACAGTCTGTCCTCCAGTTGATTGAAATAATTTTCTAGCCTAACCATTTCATGTTCAATGTAGTTCTTTAGGTCTCAGTTGTTCTTGAACAATAAATACAGAAATTAAATACTTAACAGAAATTATCATATTAGTCATTATTTATTTTTCCAGTAAATAGCTTCAAAATTCTTCATCTGTACAATCACTGTCACTGTCCTCCCGTTGTTCATCGATTTTCTCGAGTGGGCCCAGTAAGGTCTCTATCGTGAGACTTGTTACTGTGTTTGGCATATCTAATACGTCCTGCGTAGCTTGCCAGGCTTTGCCGTGCAGGCAAGACACTCTCGATTAGCTTGCTGGCCTCTCCGAGAGGGGTGGAGGAATCGAACTCGGATTGGCTGCGTGGGCCACGTGCAAGGCAGACGCCCTACCCGCTGTGCTTTCGCTCCAACCCATCTATACAATAATAACCCTAAAAGAATGGACTTCTTTCCCCTAGTAATTTTTATACTATAGGTTAGGTGAAATTTAGGGCACTTTTGGGATATCTGAGTAATGCATTGGAAGAGTTGACAGCAGATTACCAAATAATTTTAGTAGTCTGGGGTGATGTGCATAGGCAGAATGGAAATGGAGTTAATAAATTGTAGCATCCAAGAGCTGATATAAGCATATTTGAATGATGCCAGCATTTTCTCTCTAAGGCATGTCGTTGGTGTGCCGTTGCTAGTATTGAGTTTTTAAAAGCCAGGTTATAGAGAGGCATTTGTGGATGAAGTACTGTAAGACCTAATGGCAGTCTTCACAAGGTATTCTATTATCATTCTGGTGGTATCAGAGTACCAGTGCCAATGGTTGGTATAATCACTGCAGTCACTTTAGAGATTGTTTCCTGAAAATTTTGAGATTTTCATAGCTCATCGGTTTGGTTTTTGAGTATGTACTATTACTTTTATGTATGTATATGAATATTATAACGTGAAAGTTACACACTTATCAGGGTACATTTAGAAGAATCCTTTGTATTGGCAAAATGCTGCTGTGTGGGGCCAAGTAATACACTACAGCAGATAGTGTTCTTGCTTTACATGCCGCTGACCCAGATTTGATCCCCTGCACCCCATATTGTTTCCCAAGCCCACAATTAGCGATCCTTAAGGACAGAGCCACAAGGAAGCCCCGAACACTGTCTGAACACCCCGAAAAAAATGCTATCTATGATGGATAAATTACTGAATTTTCATGTAATGGAATACTTCTTTATATAGAGTGAATAAATTTAATGTTCAGACACAAGTGTGATGAACAAAAAGGAGGATTGCAGTCACACAGAATACTTTGTATCTAGATTGCATTTAGCATTAGCTTCAGAAATGGCCCCAGCTGAATTTCTAGAGTACTGTGTACCATGTATTACTCTTGACCGTGGTAATAACCACATATATACATTATGTACTGTAATACAGTGCATTATCTATACTTTTTTTGATATGTATATGTCTTTCTATGTATGTATACAGACAAATACATGCACACAAGGAAAAAAACTACTGGCTTCTGTACTCCAGACTAAATTAGATTTGGTAGATATTGGAGGTCTTTAGCAGTATTCTCAGATGAGTCAGAGGCACACTTAAGTTGTGAATCAAATTTTGTTTTGAGGTGAGCAAAATATTGATGGAACCTTTTTATCCACTTTTTTAGTGCTTCATTAAAGATAAAACTTGAAAAAAATTCCTTAATCCATTGAAGTATATTAAAGGCAAATGAGTAAATAATAGTTACCCTGGGTATTTTAAAATATTTGTATCTTTTAATCTGGAAATAACTTCCTAAGTGGTGGTACGTGACAGATAATGATCGTGATTGGAGCAGGAAAGAAGTGGGATTCTTTCTAGTACATTAGCCTAGACTTGCCTTGGGTACCCTCTCCTCTCTGGTGGTTGTAAATGCATTTGTACTCTAAATATGACAGTTCTCTATCCTTTTCCTAAGTCCAGATCCTCAATCCCCTTGCAGCTCTTCCTAGACTACAAACTAATGATTACAACCGTGTTGGTGAGATTTTTGATTTTGGGTTCACACTTAGTTTTTGCACTCAGAAATTGCTCCCCAGCAGTGCTTGGGGGACTGTACAAAATGCCGGGGATAGAACCCAGGTCAGCCACGTGCAAGGCAGTTGCTCTACCCACTGTACTATCACTCCAGCTCCCTTGATTAGGCTTTGTATATTTGCTAGCTTAGTTTTTTAATGTTATGCTTTTTGGGTCACACCCAGCAATGCACAGGAGTTACTCCTGGCTCATGCCTCAGGAATTACTCCTGGAGGTGCTTGGGGGACCGTATGGGATGCTGAGAATCGAACCTAGGTCGGCTGCGTGCAAGGCAAATGCCCTACCTGCTGTGCTACTGCTCCAGCCCTAGTTTTTTAATGTTTTGATTTATAAGGAAATCTTTGTCCTTGAAAGTCACTGTCACTGTCCTCCCATTGTTCATCGATTTCCTCCAGCAGGCCCAGTAACGTCTCCATTGGGGACTTTGTTGTTACTGTGTTTGGCATATCGAATACATCACGGGTAGCTTGTCAGGCTCTGCCGTGTGGGCGAGATACTTTCGGTAGCTTGCCGGGCTCTCCGAGAGGGGCGGAGGAATCGAACTCGGGTCAGCCATGTTGGCTGCGTGCAAGGCAAAAGCCCTACCGCTATGCTATCACTCCAGCCTGTCCTTGAAAGTAATTAGACCAATTTAGAGTTCCACCAAAGACTTTACATGCTTGCTAGGAGTTATTTTTGTAGCATTCTGAGTATTTGACATTCTGCTTGGTTTGATGCAATGACTTTTTGTGCTTTTGGTGTTTCTATTCTCAATTATCAACAAGATGGAAGGTCTTTTCATATTTCTATTGTCTTATTTTGTATTGTGGTTCAACCATTCAAGTCTTGTCCATTTTTTTGCCCAATGGGTTGTTAATATTTTTCTTAATCCATAAAAGTTGTTGAACAATACAAATGTTTTTATCATTTGAAAGGTTGAAGTAGTTTTTCCCACTTATAGTAGTAAGGTAGCTTTAGATGAGCAGATTTAATTATTTTGGGGTGGTAGGCTGGTGTGAGCTTGGGCCACACCTGGAAGTGCTCAGTACTTATTCCTGGCTCTTCTCAGGGATCACTCTTGCTGACCTCAGAGGACCATATGTTGGGTCAGGGGATCAAACCTGGGTTGGTTGTATGAAGGCAAGTGCCTTAACTCCTGTGTTCTCTGGCTCATCTCCTAGATGTCTTGAATAGGCCTGTGCCTACCTTACATGGTGTTTCTGGTTAGTTAATTGAACGGCAGTTTCAGCAGTGACAACTGAGTGTCTTGATGTCATTTAAATTGTTTTTCTAGGCCAGTTGGACAAATGCAAGTAAAAAGCAACGTGAAAAGCTGCTGGAACTGATACGTCGTCTTGCAGAAGATGATAAAGATGGTGTGATGGCACACAAAGTGTTGAATCTGCTGTGGAATCTGGCCCATAGTGATGATGTTCCTGTTGACATCATGGACCTGGCACTCAGTGCCCACATCAAAATACTAGATTATAGTTGTTCCCAGGTAAGCACCTTAGCTTTTCCTGTTGTTTTCTCAACCCTCACAATTCAAATGGCTTAGTTACAGCATTTCCATGTTATTTTTATGTCATTTTTCTAGGATTGATAGGCTGCCTGGTCTGTTACCAAGGCACCTGTAGGCAACTCCTAGCAATACGTGGCCAAAGCAAATGCTCGGCCTGTTAAGCTATCTCTCTATACTATGAAGATAAATTCTTTCTTTTTTAAGTGCTTGATTGAATGTTTCTTTCTCTTTTTTTCAATTTTTTTTGTTGTTTAGTTTTATTTTTCTTTGAAGCTTTTTGACTGTATTGTTGATAGAATTTCATGCAAAAAACAATGTTCCAGCACCACACCCTACACCAGAGTGTCTACTTACTTCCCTTCACCGTGTCTTGGTAAATTATTTAAAACTTTGTTGCTATGCCATTTTCTCAGTAAATATATTTTTCACCATGTGAATAATTGGGGTTGTTACTGACTTCTACATAGGTTTAGAGCCTCTCAATACATAGCATAATGATACTTTCAGTAAGTTTTCCTTTTAAAAAATACTTGGTTTGTGTTGTGTTTGTTTGGCAACATCCAGCAGTGCACCGGGCTTACTGCTGGCTTTGCGCTCAGGTATTGTTCCTGGCAAGGGTTGGGGTGCCATGGATATATAACCCAGGTTGACCATATGCAAGTCAAGTGCCCCACATGATCTCTCCAGCCCCCTTTTTGCGAACTTTAGAAAGTGATTGTTTGAAAGAAAATTTCTTTCAATATGTATAATATGACATATACTTTTGTGTATAGATAAGTTTATGAAATACTGAGCTCTTTTAGTGTTTTGACATTTCGGTAATAAAAGTAAAATGAGCCAGTACCTAACTAGTCGTATTGGTAATTTTTCTATGTTTCAATTGTCAAAATAATATGAAGATATAATTTCTGAGGCTTTATGTATATCAAACACTGAAATTGTTTGTTTCAGGATCGTGACACACAGAAGATCCAGTGGATAGATCGTTTCATTGAAGAACTTCGCACAAATGACAAATGGGTTATACCTGCATTGAAACAAATTAGAGAAATTTGTAGTTTATTTGGTGAAGCACCACAAAATTTAAGGTAATGTTTTAATAGAAATTTTCGACATTTTCATTCATGTATTTATTTAGTTGTGAAAAACAGCATATCCATTCGTACAAGCAAGAGTTGAGTAGGATGGCTAGATGCTATGAGATTGGTTTGTTTGGAACAAAACAAGTTTCCTTGATCACATATTCACCTCTTTTGATGAAGCTGGTAAATTAGGGTTTTGGAAAGGACAGAAAGAAATAATATTGTGATAACCTGTGGGCAGAGCTGACTACAAAAGAACTATTCTAAACTGTGCTTTGAACATACACTAAAATTTCAGTAAAAGTGTTTCCTTTGGAGGTAGGTGGGAGAAGGAAGTTTGCCATGAAAGATTCTATAATGGGGAAGGCTTTTACATACCTTTTTGTTTCGGTAAAAAGAATAATTTGGGAAGATAGAAGGAATAATGAGGGTCAGTGTGTGTGTGTGTGGGGGGGGGGGTAACACCTGGTGGTGCTGTGGGACCATGTGGTAACCCAGAATTATAACCTGGGCTCCTGCTGCAAAAGTATGTGCTCTATCCCTTGGAGCCATCTTCCTGTTGTTACTGTGTTGTTACTGTGTCTGGCATATCGAATACTCTCGGTAGCTTGCCGGGCTCTCCGAGAGGGGCGGAGGAATCGAACTCGGGTCGGCCATGTTGGCTGCTTGTAAGGCGAACGCCCTACCGCTGTGCTATCGCTCCAGCCCATCTTTCTGTTACTAAAATATTTTTTTTTTTAAATCTTGCTTTTTAACAAAAGTGACTTGTAATTGGAAATAATTCAATTTTTTTCTTTGATTTAATTCTTCAGTGTAATTTACAGCTTAATCTTTGTGTTGCCCATCTTAAAAAGAATGTTTGTACTTGACGGTTCTGGAAGTAAGCATGTGAAACTTTATAGATGCCTTGGTACTACTAGAGTATGTGAGTAGAAATCAAACACTGAGTCCAGAAATGTGTAGGGTGCTTGCCTTGTATGCAGCCAATCCAGCACCCCATATGGTCCCTTGAGCCCACCAGGATTGATCCCTGATCACTGCTGGGCATGCCCCCCCCCCCAATTAAAAAAGGGGGGAATGGGATACCTAAGTATATACTCCCATGGTAATCTGGGGCATATATATTTATTTTTTTTCAAAACATTATGTTAAATATTTATGATCTCTACTAAATGCTAAACACTACATTTTTTCTATACGTACTTTGATGATTTAATTTTAATTGATATAGTAGGAGATTGATCAATATGCCTTCCATGGTAAAGTATTTGTAACTGTCTAATATAATCAGAGTTACATGACTGTTGTCTTTCACTCAAAATCTTTTACACATTTGCAGTGAGGAACAAACAGGAAAACTAAACCATTGGGCCAAAGTGATAGTATAGGGGTTAAAGGTGCTTTCTGTGTACATGACTGACCCCAGTTTGATCCCTCACTGAGTCTCTGGTTTCCTGAACAAAAGCAGCAATCCCTCTTAGCACAGAACCAGAATTAAGCCTTTTGCAACACAGATAGGCAGGGAGTCATGATTATTTTCCTTGAAATTGTTGGACACTATCATTAAGTGATGTAAATGGTTCAAAGTTTCAACCTTTTTTTAAAATTCAATATATGGGTGAATATATTGATTCTGAGGCAGGTAGGGCACTTGCTTTGTACTCGGCCAACCTGGGTTCAATACCCAGCATGCCAAGTGGTCCCATTAGCAGAGCCAGGAGAAATGCCTGACCATTGCCAGGAGTGCTCCCAAAATATAAATAAATATATAGTAAATAATTAAGCTCTTTGATTATAGCAGAGTTTAATTTCCTAATTATATTGTTAAGTTCTTCTCGTTTCAGTCAAACTCAGCGAAGTCCCCATGTATTTTATCGCCATGACTTAATCAATCAACTTCAGCACAATCATGCCCTAGTTACTTTGGTAGCAGAAAACCTTGCAACTTACATGGAAAGCATGAGACTGTATGCTAGAGGTATGTATTGTTAGCTGATATGAATTTGGGGAAATAACAGCAACTTCCCTTACAGTACCTTTTCCTTGCCTTTTGCGGGGGGAGGGGGCATTAATTAGATAAGACAGTAAATTTACAATATGCAATATAATTGGTTTTTACCAGTTATATTCTCGTGGACTTACAATATATTTTTACTACCAACTTTAATGCACTCTAAACTCCAGACCAGCATTTCAAGGTTCTTCGCTAAGTGCTTGCATTCCTCTGCTCTCTTGTTAAATTGATTTCTTCCCCTACCCCACCCCACCCCACCCCACCCCCCGAGTCTGGGAACTCTGCCTGTTCTACAATTGATAACTTCATAGGTATGTACCTGACAAATTTTGAACCTTTGTTTCTTAGTAATGCCTCCTTTATCTTTTCAAGACAAGTTGTTTTGTCTAAGTCTACCTTGTATAATTCCTTAATGATGAATAGGAACTATATGTCCTTTCACACTCCTTTTTATAAGTGCTTAGTACTTCATCAGTAAAAGCCAGGAAAGCCAGAAGAATCCAGATATTTACAAGAAATTGTTTAAATTTGTTGGGGTACAATTTCGTTTGATTTCAGCAGCTAGCTTTTAATTAACCTGTCATTTGTGGAGCTTTGCTAATTACGTTTTGCCCTCTGATAGTTGTGTCTGAGTGTGTGTTAGAGTATAAACGGGTTCTTAATGCTTACTTGTGTTGTACACCAAATTTATAATCTTCCCAACAGATTTGTTCCCAGAACCACTGAAAGAATGTTTTGTATTGCCAGTATTAGAGGTAGACTTGAACATAATGGTTACTGAATGTACCACTCGTTTAATGCTCTGTAATAGAATATACAAAAACCTATGGCACACACTAAAATGAGAATATTTTCTATGTTTAGTACATGAAAAGTGGACTTTTGGAATAAAATAAAATTCTGGAATAAAATATCACATACTCATTAAAAAATAATGAGCATTTTACACAATATGTAATATGTGTTTAAATGTGTGTTCTGTATTTAAATTAAAAATAGCATAGTTGAAAAGCACATCTTTGATATCCCTACAGATGTTGATTGTCCATTTTTTTGGTTTTTGTTTTTTCTTACTCTGGGCCTGCTGGCTCTTCCTAGTGAAGCGCTCCATAAGCAATGTAAGCATCAGCCAGCTGGGAGACACCTAAAAATGATTGTCTAATATTTCAACCCTGGCTTTTTAAGCATCAGGATCAAACAGGGTTATCGGTCTGCAGCCACATTCTGTACCAAAATCAACCAAAATCTGAGAGACATGGGATTTGTTTGTAGTACACCCAAGCACTCTCAAGCATTTGGGCTTTAACATAATTCAGATTTTTTGTTATGATCTCATCTGTGGCTGCTTCAGAGCACTCAACGGATGCCAGTACAGGCCTTCCCCTAAAGTGAGTCCATTTTAGTCACATGCACTTCAGTGATAGTTTTTTATTAACATAAAGGAAGTTGGCATTTGATTTAGTTTTGCTGTCAGAAGTTGGGAGTCGTGCTCTCAAGGTAGTCTGGAAATTGAGCGTATACCTCATTAGGATTTTCTTTGGTTCAGCTTTAGTCAGATTCTATTTAAGGTAGTAATCATTACCTTATTTCAACTTTATGGTTACAATAGTGTTTTTGGTCTTTAGATTCCCATTCTTCTTGCTTCTATCTCCACAATGTAAAAGATAGAAACCTGTGTAGCACTGTTGACTAGATTTGAAACGTGACCCATAATGTTAGCTGTATGACAATGGACGGGTTACTTAAACAATTCCCAGCACTTTCATGTTATTAATATCTTCCCCTGAATACAACCATGCCATCAACCTTTGATAGTTCTTCCTTCTTTATTGTAGTACTATTATGATTAATATTGACTAGTCACAGAATTTTAAAGATAGTAAAAATTCTCCCATTAAAAAAAATTATGCAGGGGCTGGAGAGATAGCACAGTGGGTAGGGCATTTGCCTTGCAACCCGTATGGTCCCCTGAGCACCACCAGGAGTAACTCCTGAGTGCAGAGCTAGGAGTAACCTGTGCATCGCCGGGTGTGACCCAAAAAAGCAAAAAAAAAAAAAAAGAAGAAGAAAAAAAATGCAGTTATCCCTTCTCAATTTATTATTTTTAGGTTTTGCTTCGGTGTAATATGTTGCCAGACCTCTACAGCATGCTGATATGCTCAGTTGCAGATAAATATTGAACCAGTGTTAAATACTTGTCCTGTCCATATTTCATCTCTCCTGGAATTTTTAACTTTGGGAGAAAAAATATTCCAAAAAAAGTACAGTTGATTGGCTTGCTTGTTTGTCTTCTCCACTTTGAAGAAGCCCATGTTCTCTTAAACATTTTCTCTCTTTGTCTCCCATCACATTTCAGTAAATTTCATTTTTAAAAAAAGTATAGTCGGGGGCCGGAGCAATAGTACAGCCAGGTAGGGCGTTTGCCTTTCACATAGCCGACCTGGGTTTTATTCCTGGCATCCCATGTAGTCCCCAAGCACCACCAGGACTAACCCCTGACCATTGCCGGGTGTTATCTACCCCCAGAAAAAGTATAGTCAGCTAGTACTTTCTTTTGTTTTCAGTATTTATAAATTATTTATAACTTAAAACAATAATATGTTCTGTTCATAGTACTTGTTTTTTTGTTGTTGTTTTGTTTTTTCACATACTGACCTAAACAAATTGTTTTTAAAGATGTATGACACTGACTTTGTTTTCACTCTAGTGCTAGTTTATTGGGAAGATTGTCACTGTATCAATTTGAACACTTTGGAAAGGTTTTTTGGTATAGTTGGGGTTATGTTTTCTAAGGACTGACAGAATTACCTCTTTCCACTCTTGCATATAATACTGGCAGCTTTTTTGAACCTTTCAAAAAAAATTGCTTAATTAGCATCATTCATGAGCAGTACTCTCTTAGGGTGCAGGTCCTGTTTTTTTTTTTTTTTCTGAATGTCTCTGACTCTTCCCTACATAGCAGACATGTAATATGGCTAAGTTTATGTTGGTTCTTTGTTATATAAAAAAGGTTGAGTGAGCTTAATTTTACAAGTTTCTAGTCACAGAGAGTGCATGAGGTAACCCTTACGTCTTATTTCAGAAAATAAAGCATCATCTTCAAGTATTAAAAAGGCAGGAGCTAGCTGTCACTGGCCAAAATTGAATCAAAATAACGAAAATAACTAAAGCTAAACTCCGAATGCTATACTAAATGAGAAATAAGAATAGATGTAGAACTTGAAAATAAATAAAGGGATAGGAAATTTAACCTCTGACATAGTGGGGGCAGGATGCAAAAAATTACTTGACAAAAGAATCATTTAAGTGGAGAAAATTATTGATCAGTTCTATGAATTGTCCTAAGGAGACAGCAAACAGAAGCATTCTGGAGAATTCTACAAAATCACGTAAACCTATAGCATATGAGCTACAACTTACTCTCTTAGTTGGTGGTCTGGCCATATGATTTCACCTTAGTAGAGATTAGCATTAGCATTTCATAAAGGATACAGCAAAGAATTAATGAAAAATGAATAGAACCTTAGAGAATTATGGACACTTCTAAAAGTACCAGTGTACATATAATTGGAAGAAAAAAAATTACCAAATAGAAAACAGAAGAGCACTGTAGCACTGTCTGTACCAAATAGAAAATAGAAGAGAAAAAGAATTATTGAAGATTTTCCAAATTTGCTAAGGCATCAACCTATACACACAGGACATTCAAGTAAATTGAGTATAGAGAGCCAAGATTCAGACACCTAATAGTCAAAAAGAATGGTAATAGTGGGACCAGAGCAATAGTAGAGCTGGTAGGGTGCTTGCCTTTCATATGGCCGCCCTGTTTTTGATCCTCGGCCCATGATATGGTCTGCTGAACACAAGACAGGACTGACCCAGAAACCAAAAAAATTTAGATGAAAAAGTAGCAAGAGGCAAATAACTCCCATGAGCTTATAACCTTGGTTATATTAATTCATGTATCTGAAAATGAGATACCAGAATGAAGTAAGACAAGTAGAGAGCTAGAATAGGAGGTTGGTCTGATTCTCAAATCTTTTATATTAACTAAATGAGTAATTTGATAAGATGAGCAACTGAAGGTATTACTACGTAAACAGTAGTAAGCAGGTACAGATTTTGTTGAATGCTGTACTAAGGGAAATAATTAGGCTGGAAGTGAGTTGCAGTACACAGTTCAAAAAAGAGTAAAATGAAATGGATATCTTATAATAAAATGCATACACTATTAACATATCTCTAGAACATTCTACCCCATGATAACCGCATGTTCTTAGATATACATTGAATTTTTTGCCCTTGAAACCATAAACAACCTCATTTAAGAGCATTCAAATCATAAATGTGGGTTTTGTCCACAGATGAATTAGAATTAAAGCAGGAAGTTAGGACTTTCACAAATAAGTGTTAAGTATACACTCTTAGCCACTGGGTCACAGAATAAGGGGATGTGCACTGAGGTTTCAAAAAATGAGCATGTCACAATTTATAGTGCTGCTAAACCAGTGCTTTAGTATGGTTTACTCTGGTTTAACGTATGCACACATTGAGGAGGATAGCAAGATCAATAACCTTTGATTTTTAGAAACTAGCAAGCCAAAGTAAGAAGGAATAGATTAAAAAATGAATGAAATTTTAAAATAGAGGTAATTAATAAAACTAAGTTGATTCTTTGGGGGAAATAATTGTACAAACTCTTATAGCTTATTATGAAAATAATGTTTATAAAAATTGAAAATGAGACTACCATCCTTAAAACATTATCACTACCATCCTTAAAACATTGGAAAATGTTGAGTCTGCTAATTTACTAGATTAACAAAGTTGAAAATGAAAATAGACTTGTAACAGATAATAAGATTGAATTATGAAAATAAAATGTCCTGTGTGGAACACATCCTAATCTGGATGGCTTTTATTACCTTGATACCAGAGAAAAAGATATCAGAAGAGAAATGTAG